TGGGATTACAGGCATGAGCCACTGTGTCTGACTAATTTTAAATTACTTTCTTGTCAAAAGGTACGTAAGACCAGGCTCGGGGCTCCCATCTGTAATCACAGCGATTTGGGAGGTAGAGGCAGGTGGATCACTTGACGCCAGGAGTTGGAGACCAGCCTGGCCAACATAGTGAAACCCAATCTCTACCAAAAGTACAAAAATTGGCTGGGTGTGGTGGCCGGTGCCTGTAATCCCAGCTACTTGGAAGGCTGAGGCACGAGAATTGCTTGAACCTGGGAGGTGGAGGTTGCAGTGAGCCGAGATCATGCCACTGCATTTCAGCCTGGGTGATAGAGCGAGACTCTGTCTCAAATTTTTAAAAAAGGCACTTAAATCTCTTAAAACTTTTCTGCACCTGTTCTCTCATGTCTTTTCTTATCAGTGAGATGCAGTGGTGCTAATAAGTGAACAGATCTGAGTTTAAATTCTGATTAGTTGATAGGGCGCGGTGGCTCAGGCCTGTAATCCCAGTACTTTGGGAGGCTGAGGCTGGCGGATCACCTGAGGCCAGGGATTTGAGACCAGCCTGGCCAACATGGTGAAACCCCGTCTCTACTAAAAATAGAAAAATTATCTGGGCGTGGTGGCACGCACCTGTAAGCCCAGCTACTTGGGAGTTGGAGGCGAGAGGACCACTTGAACTTGGGAGGCGGAGGTTGCAGTGAGCTGAGGTCGTACCACTGCACTCCAGCCTAGGCAACAGAGCTGGAGTGCAATAAATAAATAAATAAATTCTAATTAGTTGTGTGACATTGGACATGATATTTAACCTCTCTGAGCTTAGTTTCTTTCAACTACAAAGTGCAGATAAAGAAATACATACTTCTTTCATCTGTTGCATGAGATAATTTTTAAAAAGAAAGAAATATTTACTTCTTGGCTGGGTACAGTGGCTCATACTTGTAGTCCCAGAACTTTGGGAGGCTGAGGCAGGGGAATCACTTGAGCCCAAGAGTTCAAGACCAGCCTGGACAACATGGTGAGACCCTGTCATCTCTATAAAAAAATACCAAACAAATAGTGAGACATGGTGGCACAGACCTGTAGTCCTAGCTACACAGGAGGCTAAGATGGATTACTTGAGCCCAGGAGGTTGAGGCTTCAGCGAGTCATGATGGCACCACTGCACTCCATCCTGGGTGACCTTGTCTCAAAAAAAAAAAAAAAAAAAAGAAAAGAAAAAAGAAATACATACTTATTTCAGGATTATTGTAGTGTTAAATAAAGTGCTTACGGTATGAAAAAGTACCAAGTATTGGGCCATGCCTACAGTAGCTCCTCAAAAATGCCAGGTCCTTCTGCCTTGCGGTCACCACAACCTTTTATACTTTTGTTCTTTTGCAGTTCTCAGTCCTCAAGGTCAGTGGTGGAGCCAAATTTGCTTTGTACTCTATGACTTTCTTGGAAAGGGGCCCTTTATTGATTCCCTTATGAATGGGTCTCTGGCCTTTCTGCAATGCTGAGGAATAGTTGGGCAGAATTTACATGTAAATAATGCTGGGAAGAAAAACAAAACAAAAAAACAGCCCCAAAGAATCCTAGAAAGACAGAGCTGGGCAAACCCTGAGGGTCTTTAATGCCAGGTCAAAATTTAACTGGCTTGTAATGAAAAGATAAAGACACATTGTAATTTTTGAATGAGTTTTAAAAACTTTTTAAAAAAGTATTTCTTTTAAGAAAGCTTCGCGGCCGGGCGCGGTGGCTCAAGCCTGTAATCCCAGCACTTTGGGAGGCGGAGACAGGCGGATCACGAGGTCAGGAGATCAAGACCATCCTGGCTAACACGGTGAAACCCCGTCTCTACTAAAAATACAAAAAAACTAGCCGGGCGCGGTG